ATGAAGTAATTATTGATCGCCTTTGCGAGTGGGTTATTATCGGAAATTCGAGAAAAAATTATCTTCTACCCGAAATTTAATCGTCGATCCCAGAAGCACGTGTTCCATCACTTAATCCTTAACTGTCACCTTGAACAACAGAAAATTTTCGTAACTTATGTAGAATGATATCAAAGCTTCTGCAATAAAGCAATAGATAAACTAGTCCTGCTGTAGAACGCACACCGGCGCCTGCAGCTAAAACTTCACATCCGTTTTCCATGCCGAATGGAAATAGGCGAGGAATAATCTACAATTTGCCCGGCGCTAGCAGAGATACTCACGGGTTTACTCAATGAGGCTGTTTGTGAGATTATCTAAACTTTGCCGCTTTTCTAAAATTACCCATAATAGTTAGGAGAACTGGGGCGAGACGGATCAAACCTTAGAAATCTCTAATCATGACCAGCATTCAAGATGTTTCTGAACAAGTGACTCCCTTGCTAACACTATCCCTGACATGCTGTCATCCACATTCCTTAGAACAACCGACTGCCTCCACAAAGCTGTCAGACATTTCAGTTTCAACAGTCGCTACCAACTGAGACATCGACTGGGGTATTCCCCGAAATACAACGCCAGATATAGAAGTATTTACCGCGTCATGAAGTCCCAAACGGTGAATATGCACAACCAGGGAACGACGTCAGTAACCGAGCCCCGGCAAATCGTAGAAGCCAATGCGGCCCAACGTAGTACGGTACATTCTACTATCTAAAAGTGCTGCAGTTTTTCGTCGCCCAGTGCATTTCACAATAAGACGTGACGAATCCAGGAACCCCGGACTATATGCAGATATCGACACAAGTATATCGCAGACCGCCGGGTTGATTAGGCATAAGATACTACTAACGCCCGCCGTATCCATAAGACTCTATACTTTGCTCTACGATAGATACGTAAGCTCTGTATGATAGTATGATAGGCGCCGCAAGCATATTTGATAGATATCTTCAAATGAACGACCCGCGATACGCTGCGCCGATATCAGGACAACTATTATTTCCAAGCCATATACACGTAGCAGCATAGGATGCGCAATCTAGGTTACACTCTTCAAATACTTGAATTCATTGAGAACTTGGCGTTCTTGGGCTAAGATGACTGGGTATTTCGCGGTTATACATTTGGTCACGTTAGGTCATCGCGGAGAAGTTAGGCAACTCCGCTACGTAGATAGGAAACTGGGATGATTCATGATTGTCTCAAACGAAGATGATGTACAGGAAGTGTCGTTCATGGACAAGCCGAGCCGTTGTGGTGAGGGAGGCAGAACGCCAACGAGCACTACCACTCTTCGAGCTCTACGAGGCAACTCCTGCCGGGGTCGCAATCTCTTGACGTCATGCTCGCAGCAATGGGCCAGTTCACATGTGCGTTTCGTCTCGGGATGATCTTATCTCCAAAACGAGGAACACGACGAACTGATGTTTACGTGGAAGGGACGAAATTGCCCCGACGCGGTTAGCCACGAGGGTCATCTTAGAACTTACTGTCGAGAACTTTAGCCCGTCAGGCAGATTCCGGAAACTTGGGTTCCATCTAGATATATCTACGGTCATTGAAGAAGTATGTGCTCTAAGACAAGCCAGGACGACCGTCCACTTAAATCAGAGCATCTGAGCACACATGTCAGACACTAAGAAAGGGAAGTACTTCCGGTGACTTAAGTCCTGATGCAGAATCTCTGGGTAGTCGCGTCTAAAAAGCCACGTGAAGCTTCTATCGGTCTCCGAAAGCGCAAGCCAAAGCCGAGAATCTGACTTGGTGGCGGCGCACTCGGACCGCGCTTCTCGGAGGAGGCAATTTGTCATTAGATCGGCGCTATTGAATGCATAGATGACGACTGAGGTCGGTTGCGTTGCATATAAGAGCAGCACTGGATGGAATGTGCTGTACGGTTCCCGCTGCAGATGGCGTACCCTCGTGCATGAGGCTGGCTGCATGGTCCTTTGCTGTGTAGGTACACGCCCGTGACGATTTCGTGGAACACGCCTTGCTTTCGACCATGCGGGTCATTCACATGAGGATAGGGTCGAGTGAAAGAATATCGCTCAACTCTTTTTGAGAGTCGGGCTGTTGAAACTGTGGAGAGATCAACTGTAGTTGTTTTCTGGTGAACTATGAAGAGCATCCGGAGCAGGATCGGTAGTTTTATTTCGACTCTCGCCCTGACTCAAGGCTGACAATCTACGCGTAAGCATGTGTTTAGCCTAATTATTGGATTAGTCTTATGCCGGTTGGCCTGCGGCAACGCCATTGATCAATTAAGGCGACGGTATTGCTTTCGAAAAGTCGGGTATCGCATCACGCGGCAGCGTAGAACACTGACTTGATATTCCATTCATGTAGATATCTTTAGATAGGAGACTATCATTAAGAAAATCTCAGCATTCTCCATATTATTCAGGATTCGTTTAGCGCCTAGGGTGTGCTCAGACGGTCACGAGCATGAGTAGGACCGCATCTATTACGCGTTAGGTCGTGGCTCCCTACGGCTTCTTGATAAGAAAACCTGTTTGGTAGATACGATATGAAAATGTCCAAATTTAGAGAAACAAAGTCAGTCGAAGTCGTCCATTGAAGAGCAGGCCTCGGATGTCTCAGAAACATAACCAGGAAGGATTTGAAGGTAGATGGAGGCGGCGCATCCTCATCCTAAGAATATCTGCTAAGTTTAAAAGAGGATCGCAGCCCCCGATTGTTGCGTGATCGAGGATGTTGTTATTGCGATTACTTCCGTTGAGGAAAGTTCCAGGGGATGGCGAGCGTGTCGCTCTGAAATTCAGCAAGTGTCTACCTTTAGCGAAATAGCGGGCATATCTCGAGTAATGCATCAAGTAAGGCACCAAGAAAGTTTTCCACTAGGCAACTGCACGTAGTGTAGTTATTTGAATCTTTTCGTTCGAAATCGAACTGTGAGCTAGGTATAATAAGCTGAGGCCTGGGGCTTAATCGTTGGCGTTTTGCTTAAGCATCTAGCTAGAATCTATATTTTCGGACTTATTGTCTTTGGAATCGACACAATCAAAGTGTCACCAAGGTCGTCGGAACGAATTCTACAGTTTGCCTTTGTTATAACTGGGCAGGGTCAAGTCAAATATGTTTCAGAAAAGGGGCTCGGCGAAGCCCTGGCACAATCTTAGAATATCGACGATCTTCGTAGAAGAGGGTCAGAGAAGATGTACTAGCTTGCCAAGTCTATATAACGACAGACCCTTACCTGAAAATATAATAAGCACAAGGACTCACAGACTAACTTTGCAAGAGGGTTTTATCACAGCAGAGTCGCAAGACTACAAATATCGCTACACAATGGACATGGTCTATGATAGCAGCAGGCCCAGCACCCATTATGAACGGATACTTATTAACGACTGGAAATGGTTGAACATCAACACCATCAACCCTACCCAGTTTAGCCAGAATGCAGCAGTAATTGATGACAATGGTCGACCAGATCGTCTCAACCGACACTCCCACCACGGTGAAAGCACACATTGTGTCATCACTGGCGACCTTCGCATCCTGAGAATTTACGAACCGCGCCTGCTTTACGAGATATCAGATGCGATAGGTGCCGAGAGGCAGGACCACGTCCCGCCAAAAACACTGTATAGCGCGACTTCGAAGCGCGGATGCACGTTCGTCGAGGGACACAAGTGCCTTAGTCCAAAATCGGCCGAACGCTTCATTTCCCGCGGCACCCTGAAAGTGGTCGATAAGAGTGCACGTAAATCGTTTCCCACAAACGAGCAGCTTGGAATATGGCTACGACAGGTCAAATTCAACCCCAACGGCAAGGCTTTTCCGGACCTATCGAGGGGCGAGATGCCAATACTAGATGATAAAGGGGTGGAACCACGAATGCCGGACGATGTTTATGCTGATCTCTCGCAATGGTTTGAGAATGAGTGGCAGGAACCGAAGCCATCGAGAAGTGACGACCAAACTGATAGTTGGGTCTTGTGGAGCATCGTAATCCTCATATTGTATGTTGCGCTTGCTCGCTGCTTTTGAATGGGGAGGCATATTACTGGGAATTGTTCTGGTAGCGGCGCGAGTTTGTTCTTGATGAGAACAAATTCAAACTTAACAAAGGGGAGTATTAATATCCCGGCCCCCTGAGGATTAGAGAGCGATCTTGCGTTGGCTTGATTGATGCGCATAAGAAAGATAGCAATTTGGATTGCTTGGTCACTTACTATTAACATGCCGCATATATTAGATGTGGAATTGAGGGATCCGTTGACGATGAGATAATAAAATCCGTACGACTAGATGGAGTATCAACCGCGAATGTACCGCGAATGTATCCTTGATTATTACTATATGTCAGCTTTCCGATGTTACTCGCCGAAATTTGAGGTTAGGCTTGTTTGACAGGCCCCGAGAGCGGTCACAGAATATAGACATTTCGGTGTCGAGAATAAGAAGACTTACTACTTACTGTCCAGTGTTATTGAATACTATATTAAGGTGCTGCGGAGATGGACATGGAGGATATTCGTGATACATGGCAGTGGTAAATAGTAGGCCATGACAGTATCGGATAACAACATCTATAAGCCATCTATGGCAGAAGAAATCACTGAAATCACGCTTAAAATCCGAGATCGTCGAGCCATGGTTTAAATTCCATGTATATAATCATATGATTGGTAGTTCGTACGGGATTTGGCTATTTAGCCACCAGTATATTCTTGATCAAATAGAATAGGTGATATATAATAGTGAGATAGGCAAGGTAAAGTATAAGAAAGCGGGGAGTGAAAGCGAAGCTTTTACATAATGGATGAAAAGTAGAGCTAGACATTCACGGCTTCCTTACTGTCGTGGTTGATATTGTAATTCGAATGTCTTCTAAAGCTCTGACCTAATCTTCTGTCGCAAAAGCTAAGCTGAGAAATATAATGGAAATTACAATATTATTGCCAAAAAGAATCACGAAAATGAAGCCTTTATCGGGACAGGATTCGAACCTGTGTCACCCTAGTACACATACCTTAGTACAGCGTTCAGGTATGCTTGCCCACTACACCACCCGATCGAAGTGCTATCAGAGGGCAAACATATATAATAGTGTAGCAACTACATAGCTAGCTATGCATTAGGTTTTACCATTGGCACCTGGACTCCAACTGTCGAACCCCTATCCTATAAGTGACAAAAACCTTATTTTTCTCATATGATAAGCAGTCCTAAAAGACCAAGTTGCTTTATCACCTGCAACTGCTATAAAAAGGCGGATTCCATGACGAAGACGGTCTTAGGGAGCATAAATCAAGACGAGGCTACTAAAATAACTTAGTGAAAACGGATTCTAAGGAGGGGATGGACAAGGAAGATATGGTTGGTGTATGAAGGCATTACCAGCTGGCTCCTCAAAAAGCTTTTCTCGACGAACTTTGAGCGTACGTTTCGTTTTAGGAGTCTAACTTCGAGGCGCGCATCGTGTAGGCGTTATGGAAGGAAACCCCCACCGCATTTTAGCCCCAGAGAGGAATATTTGAATCAAGAAGAAGACAACGAGATCCATGAGAAAATCTTTCCCATTGAGGACGAGTGTGCTATTGTTAGGGACGAGAAGCCGGGATGAAATTCGTGAATTATGTTTCTCGTGAAGTCACTGACGCGGGCACTGAGCAACGACAGAAGATGCTTAAGGAATATCTGAGAAATTGGTAAACCCCCCTTTTAGAAAGACGGGAAGGGTCGGGGTCTTACGGTAGAAGCTCAGCATGAGTTTCGCCAATTTTGATGACGGAGTTCAAACACTGCGTTTCACTAAATGTGATTCAAAGTGGAGGTGATGGAAGGACGTAGTGTAGGCAACAACAACGAATTTAACCATGAAGATATATAGGCTACAAGATTAGCTTCACCATTGAGCTACTTAGGCGCGGTCAGCGGAGCATAGCCGCGAAGTAGAGGAGCCGGAAGATATTCCAAACAGATCTTTACAACCATCTCATCGAGCATAGGATCGATCTACTCAGACGAGATCGAGGTATCTGACATCGACACCACGTTGTCGAAAGATATCCAACTCAATACTGAGAGCACTATTTGGGTTTTCTTGCAGATCTGCGCGAAATTCGGCGAGATCTATCGGCAATTCCTTCAGTCGAGGGTCCTGGAGGGATGATTCTCCAGTCTTGTAATCAAGATAATAAGGATGCAATCGTTCCGAGGTCTCCTCCGAGACGTAAGCTACTCGAGTATGCTTCGGCAGAGGTCCGAGAAGGGCCTCGCCCATCGAAAGTCCTTCCACAAAACACTCACCCACTACGAGAAACTCGCCGCTTTCGAGAGGCCGTAGCAGCATAGGCGCATCGCAGCCAAGGAGAACACAAATTTTGTCCCCTACTTGGGCCGACGGCGGCGCAATGCCGACATATCCGCCCGCACAGTTGACGAACTGTTTGTTGGTGATATTTGAGCGCATCTGAATGAGGAACTGTCGACCAGGGTTTACCAAGTCAAAGAATGTCTCATCATATTCTGAGTTGCTCATCATCCGCTCTACAGCTTGTATTGCTGTAGCTAAGTCCAGTTTTCCGTCCGAGGATGGCCTCAAGTCATCTTCAACCGCATCGCAAACAAGGGTTCTGGCGAGAGCTTCTACCATGCTGATACCTGTGCAATATTGTGCGTCAATCTGTGTCATGGGTAGGAATTTTCGGGCTTCTTCATAGACACCTCGCCACATCCTTTCGTAAAAATCGGGAATCGGTTGACAGCCTTCGACAACTGTCGCCACTACGCCGGCTACTCTTAAGGTCCCATTGTCTAGAAAACTGTACTGGGCCTCTATGGAAGAAGAGGAAAGAAGCGGATTATTCCTCAAGGATATCGTGGTCTTTCTTGTCCATGTAGGAATCCAGCTTGGACTGAGATCTCCAGCTGCCAATTCGCAGTCACGAAGTATGCTAAGATTGTTGGTTCGTGATACCATCTTCTGGACTATCTCTTGGTAAAGTTGTGTGCAGGGCTTGGTGTAGTCCGGTCGGGGACACAACTCTCTCTCCGTCTCCCTCAACATAGATCGGAGGGCGTAAATTCGGTCGCGTGGATCGCGGCAGAGACAATTGCCCAAAATGTCCCGAAAGTCAACAAATGAGATGGGGAAAAACTGGAAAATGAAACCTTGCAGCTGCCACATCCTGCTGATACACTGGTCGCCGAGTTCTGAGTCGGAATGGAGCTTGAAGTGCATGCACCGAAGAGCGAGATAGAATGCGGACCATGGCACTTCCTGCGGACCGCATTTGACAACCGCTTCAGAGTTGGCGAGATATATTTCCTGCCTGATCCATAGGCGGTCAAACCATGGCCGGCAGATCAAATGATAGACCGACCGTAGGTCCCGCTCAGTGAAAGGGAGCTTCACATGCTGATCAGAGATGTCGGGATCTAAACAATCTTCCGAGGGAATCAATTGTTGTGTCTCGTCCAAGGTGACCTGGGACCCGATATGGTGCATCCACTTCATGGCATTACTACTGTCGTCCTCTTCAGGACCCAGCCAGGCAATGACTCGGGAAGCTAGTCGATAGATCTCACCCATGCGCTCGACCTGCAGATTCTTCTCATCATTGTTGAACTGGTTAATACAAATCGCGTCAACCCACATGTCACGAGGCCGGTCGACCAGTCGCAAGCCTCGCAGGGCGACGGCTAGGTTTCTTGTTATATGAAGCGTCGTACTGGCTTGGTTGGTGATCTGGATGGGCTGCTTGTCATCCTCGGAGCCCCAGACGTATGAAAGAGCTTCGTAGGGAGGCGGATCATCGATTAAAAACTGCCTAGCCTCTATTTTGACAACAAGATCGTCATTGAAGTTTCCTGGAAGAATGGTCGCGAGCCTAACGTAGTCATTGGCGGGTAGATCATGGTATTGGTATCCAACCATGACTTGGTACTGCAGTTAAAAATAATATATATTGCTTGACAGATTGAGTTGTTGGTTGATCAGTCGAGTTGCATTGTGCGGGCTGGGTGACCTCCCATTTGATCAGCTCATACCCCGCCTCGACAGTTGACTAAGCTGATTGATATAGTGAATACCAGAGTGTTTGGAATTCGTGTTCAGAACTGTTGACAACATAAGGAACTATATGGAAGGTATGTGATAATGCCTATGATATGGTGCGGGTTTACTCAATGGATCTGTATGTCAACCTGGCGCCACGGCATATTGGGTGAAAATTCATAACCTAGGGACTTAGATGGTGAGAAGTTCCAAGTGCAGATACCCAATCGCTGATAAATAGGACTCTGGAGTTGTTCCTTACCCTCAACCGGCTTCAGTGGGTTGAGTATGATACCGATTTGCTCACGCACAAAGACGCTCTCAAGATTCCTCTGGACGCTCCCTAGCCAGAAAACCTGTAGAGCACCATATCCATATTGTTTGAGGAGTTGGCGTCCATGAATATGCTCACGTGATAGCGTTGATTGGCTAAACCCAAGATCTTCAATGACATACTCATCGAGATATATCTTCAAGCTAATATCGGTTTGCTGATCTATTTCGTCGATATGGACAAAGGAGCATAAGGGACCTCGCGCGATCATGACTCCTGATTCGATTACCAGTTCGCTTAGGGGCTTGGGGTCTCGATACATGCATAAGAAGTCTGGCACCCTAGACGCCTCCGTAATGCGCCAGCTTGCGCCATCTGCGGGGGCTCGTGTGTGTACGAACATCTGGGACATGATAGGGCACGTGTCAACTATAGCCTTCGCGAACTCGTCAAGAAGCTCAGGTAGTTGTGGGTTACGCGCAGGGTCTAGCGACTTGCCCACCCGAATATTGTAAACTTGCATAATGGCATACACGCGATCGACAGTTCTCGATGTTTTACGGTATTTGGCGGTGCCATATTGGACGTTCGGGTTGTCACTGAAAGTATAATAGAACCCGGCTTCGAGAATTCTCTGCTTGATGTCATGTATCTGGGCGCCCATCCGTAGTTGCTGTTCGGATATCGGTTGATTATGTCTCTTAGATTCTTTGATAGAGTCAGCAAGGTATTCAAGATCCCTGAACATATTCTGGCAGTGATTGATAAACATTGTCATGTACATATACTGGTTGGGAAACCATTCAATTGGCTCTGCTTCCTTTGCGAGAACCAGGGCGTCGTTCCGCAGCACGACTTCCTGAAGTGTCCACAACGAAGAAAACCAGGGCTCATTGAAGATAATATTACACTCCTTGAGTAGAGAGCTGATGATATCCTGGATCGGTAGTGCGGTCGGGTCATTATCGACATGTTTCCTCAATTGGATACCATGGTCTTGGATGTTGGCTATCGCTGGAGCCAGGACACTGAAACTTAACTCTGAAAGCCAGACAAACACTCTATGGGCATTCTTGAAGATGCTAGCCTGGCGGCCAACTTCTTCAGCGTTTTCTGCCTCGTCTTCCTGATGAATGCAAGCAATGTCGATCCACGCCCACTTGATGCCGTCGCTCGCAAGGAAAGCGACAACGCTCTTGAACTGGTCAACTGTGAAATGCTCCTTCTTTATGGGTGGAATCTTCCAGGGTGTATTTTGAACTGGGAGTGCCAAATTTCCAGCTGCATCTTCGGTTCTGAAGCGGCCCCAGGTGTAGGTTAGGATGTTGTACTTCGGCCTTATTTCGTCTTGGGTACCGGGAGCTCGATAAGCGCCATGCTCATCTCTCGCGACGGATGTCATTGAGGGAATATGTAGCAGGCGTTGGGGCCAATGGTCAGCCTTGATATACCACTTCCTAGGGAACCATCCTTCGGTGAATGGTTGGTTCTACACTAGCATAAGCTATTGGAACTAACAACCGAAGCAAGTGGGTTTAAGTTTAATACCATTCTGGCCAGACTAGGTAGTCTAGTATATCAAATCAGAAGCCCTTCAAGAAGAAAAGATCCACGTTCGGCACTTGCCGAAAAGCTTGCTGTATTGCTCTTCTCTCTCTATGCGAGTGATGGGTTATTGTAGAGGTGTTTTGAGTCGAATGGTGGTGGAAATGATTATTGAGAGAAGACGGAAATGAACGAC